GCTTTGGATTACCCAGGATGGTTTCCCCTCTAAAAAAGTAATAATATAATTAAACACTTTATCTATTAAAAAATTAATTAAAAATTAGTTTAGAAAAGGAAATTTACAAACCCGTAAGCCTGTAACCAGCTCAGCAACTGAACTAGCTCATTCTTTTCCAACTTTTCAGAGGCTATTTCTCGTAACTGAAAAGGTGTTGAAGTTTTTCCATGCAGTTACAGATCTAAACTATGACTGATAGTTTTTAAGAATGACTCACAGAAATGGGACGCTCTAACTTGTTTATTTAATCGAAAATAACAATGACATAATTACCCTTGAAGAGAGGCAATTGTGATACATGCCAACAAAACGCTCATAAATATCGTAATTTGGTGGAAAGCACTGAACAGCGCTACACTTCGCAACTGTCAGATCTTCTGTCAATACAAGGCGACAGACCTCCAAATACCTTAACTCGACTACTGGTGAAAAGTCAGAAAAGAGAAACCAAAAGAAAAAAAAAATGCAAAACAAAAAAAATTCTCCTAAAATTTATGATTACTCTACAAAATTTAAAAATTTTCACAGTACACAGATATAAATACAAAAGACAGATTGCAAAACCTTGCAAGCCACTGCTTATTCAAACTACGGTCCTCTAGCTGGTTACCTTCAATGCGCTGCCTGACAGTGTTTGCAATCGCATCAAAGCACTTTTTTTTCCATTCACGAGGCCTTCCAGGTGGCATGAAATTACTGACTGGAAATTTTCCCTTATAATACTCGTCGATTCTAAAAAACAGGAACTGATTTCCATAGAGAAAGGTGACTTTGAAGAATTACCTCTCCTCACGTTCAATGATACGAAGCGCGGTAACCAACTGAGTTGGACCTTGATCAATTCCTCTAGCTGCCTCTAAACTTCTAGAGCAAACATAAAATATTTGCTTCCCCAACTCATTCACTAGATTGTCAACGTCCGAAAAATAAGTTTTCAGCAACTAAAAACACATTAATTTTTGGCTGACTTTAACGAGAGCTATGCCAGAAAAAAACAAATTGAGGAACAACATAAAAACGGCAAATCTGTCTAGATTACATTTTTTTCATAGTCTGCGTTACCACTCTGAAGCCGATGAATTTCCAACATCATATCATCGCGAGCATGCTCTAACTCCATTATGCTTAAAATTCTTGGTTTCAGAAATCGCTAAGGAAACAAATAAAGAAAGTCAAGAGAAAAAAACAAAAAAAAAAAATGACCAACTTTTTGTGGGCATGAAGGAGTTTCCCGTCAACGATGTACTCATGCGTCTGCTCTACAGTTTCGTTAATAGCAAAAACGTGTTTTAAATGCTCCATTACGATTGCATATTGACTATGTGTTGCATTCGCTTCGCGCAGTTTACTCATTTTTTCTTTCAGTTCCGGGAAGCACAATAAAGTGTCATGAACTATTCGTAGGCTAAGGAGAAAAGAGTTTAGCGCAAAATTTCAAGTTTTTTCAAATCTAATTTTTAAAGACTAATGAAAACTAAAGAAGTTCTAATTTATTAAACGGAAAGGAAGAAGGAATTACTCATTTTCAACCGCTTTAATGTCTTCAACTGTCGTTTGTAAATGATTAATAGCAGAACGAATTCCTTCTAACTGCGACTGCACACCAGTTCGTAACATAGCTTCTACTGCGGCCTAAAAATTAAACTAACTGCAATTTGATTTTTAATTAGACGAACAATCCATATTTTTGTAAGCGCCAAAAAAAATGAGCTTTTTTTCCAGTTTCACTAACCTTTTTTCGATCAGCGCGTTTCTGCAGCGATTCCAGTTTTTCCAGTTGGTCCGGTCTTTGAAACATCTGAGCAACCTGCACCAAGGCAGCAGCATGAGCTTCTTTTTCAATTGCCTCGGCATCCATATTTTCCTAAAAATTTTGCTTAAATTGTTAATTATGAGCTTCAGTGCACCAAGCTACGTTCAAAAAAGTGTGAGATCCGTTAAAAGCCAAAAAGCCAAAAATTTTAAAGCAATGCCTAAATAATTCCATTCAAATCTGTTACTTTTTAGGGCGGAAGTGGGATGGCAGAGGCAATGAATACTTTGCCAACCCGGCGAAGGAAAAGTTCTTGCTCTGTTTCTTTTCATCCTCCGAAGGGGAGGCAAGGGGAGAAAAGGCAGAGAAGTAGGTCCTCGGGCTAAAACGCCAGGAGCTTAGAGAAAAGCTGGGGAAGATGTTTTTAATCTTTGATTTTTTCAGTTTACAGCATTTATTTAGCTATTTGATTGTAACCTAAAGGCAGTGCAGGAAAAAACGTTAATGAATTTGCCAATATTAACAAGAGATAAAACTATAAACGGTGTTATGGTACAGGAAAATTGAGGTGAAGCAATTCAGTAATAACCCACTGATACAAGAACTTAGTATGTGCAGTGCTGATAACCACAGTCAGGAAAACAAACGAAAAAGAAGGAAAAAACAGAGAGCAAATTGCAGAGGAGTGCATAAGGTAATAACCGCCTGTTTTTAAAGCGTATAATTGGCTAATAGCTGTCAGCCTTCAGTAGAGGAAGTTGGAGCCAGGAAAATAGCGTTTGGAAAAAACTTTTAGCGTCATTTTCCTAGTATCTTGTTGCTTTTTTAAAGTAACACCAAAAATTATACTTCCTAATAATGAAGGCTGCTCCTCGGGAGTTGTTTTAGGGCAGTGAAGCGGCACCGGAACTGTATCAAATTGAAAAACAGAGAACAAGGTTAAGGGTCAGGGAACAAAGAATGGAGGAAAAAGAGAAAAAAAATGTTTTTTTCCAGTATTGGATTATGGGAGAAGACAAAGAGGATGAGCGGCAACTACAAAATGAAAGTACATATAATTGATATTTGTTATGATCCACTTTTTAACAGTTAACAAGCAGTCATCATCTGCCGGTGGTTAGCATCCCGGTACCACTGCTATCGGCTGTGTTCACAGCAGAATTTTTCTTTGATGGCAAAATTCCAGCCGTGCAAAAAGACAGTACGTAAAATACGTATAACTTTGCCATCAGATCGGTTATGTTCTTTTCCTTAAACAGTTATTCGTCTGCCTGTTAATTATCAACCTCTTTAATTCCGCGTTCTATTTATCAGGGTCGTCATTCTGATGAAAACGTTCTGATCAGAGCCTCCCTTTATTCTCAGGTTTAAGCAGTTTTGAGCACTGGTTAAAAAAAATTCAGCAAGCAATATTTTGATTCTAATAAAAAGTTAGCAACTAAAGTTTTAAAAAAAGCTTTTGTTTAAAGTCAAAATATTGAAGAACATTGTCTAAGGTTTACCCAGTTCTGTTACCAAAATTTCTGCATTAACTAAATGTTGCAAAAAACGTTAAAAACAAACTTAATGAATGATACTCTCATTTAATTACCTTTTTTTCTTGTATTTTACATTTAAATAGAAGGATTTATTTAGATGCAAGAAAGCAAGAAACTTACCATTTTTTTACCCACCACAGGCGAACGTTTCGTTGCAGTTTTCAATACCTCCTTTCTTTTCTTTGGGTTGGGTGTTGTTTGTTGCTTTTTTTTTGTGCCAACTTTGGCTTGATGAGTTTTTGCCTTGTGAAAGCACTTCATCTAAAATGCAACAATAATTTATAAATGCATACATCGTATGTATAATAAAATTTTTTGTCAAGCGAGAACAGTTAAAGTCAGAATACTTAGTTGAATGCAAGAGTCATTAATAGATGAAAAATAAATAAATTGGACAAGATGCCGAATTGACCTCATCCTGGTTTCCTGTCCTTTGTAACTATGACCATTACGGTAGTTTTCGGCAGTTAGAAATAGATACGTTTTATAAGTAAGATTTCAAAGCCTGTTTTCCGATTCAGTGCTTTACGAAAAATTCAAGTAATATTTTAGTACCACCGAAGAACTTTGGAAATTCAGTTTAGTAAATTCTCAGAAAGTGTATCTTAACAACCGAGGAGCGGAGATGCATATTCAACGTTTGCAGCAGAAGTGGCTTGTTGTTTCCGGTCCAGGAATCCTATCGTAACAATATCTGTGTCTCTCAGAATTTGGGGTCACTGATGTAAAGAAGCGAAATTTAGTAACCCTCATGAGGCTACACACTACGTACGAATTCAGTTTTAAATTCCTTACTAGTAAAATAGTTCTTATTTCAGAAGAAAAATTAAAATTCGAACGATAATTTATCCAGCCGTCAGTTTCAGAATGTTGCAGTTAATCAATTATAATAAAAGTTTCCTGTACAGTCTGACAGTCTTTAGGCTTACATCGCTTACATCTTTGCATTCAACAAATCTTTTGCTATCATTCAGCATACATAAGACGAGAATTTACAGCATTTTAAAAAATTTTTTTTCTAGTTCAACTCTACTACATTCAAAAAATTTTAGCTTAATTAATAAGCGAACTTATAGCGCACTTGGGTAATCGTCCAAAATTAAGGAATGTACATATCCTGACGAAGAAAATGGAGGTAGAAATTGCAAAATTATTGAGAAAAGTGGTGAAATTTGGCTGAAAAAACGTAACTGACTATAATTTCACTTATTAAAATTAATAAAAATTTGGTTTATATAGACTTTTCCAGAAAATTGTAGTCATTTTAATTCTCCACACAGATATCATCAAGAAATCGGTTTTTAAGTGAAAAAAAAAAACAAGATTTTCTTTTCAATGAGATTTTCTAAATTCTGTCTTTAACAGTAATTTATAAGTACAGAACGAATACAGAACTAAAATTTTAGTGTAAAGTTTCCTACAAATCTGTTATGTTCAAAAGTTATTACCCGTTTAATTTAGAATACAAGAACTCTCTCTGCCAACTGTGAATCTAGAAGAAAAAGTTTACTGTAGAATATAAAAGTAGATTTGTTTGTACGCTTTATTGGAGCTTAACAAGAAATCTTGTTCAAAATTGAGATTTTCTGTAACCTTAAGGAGAATCCTGCTATTACCGTTCCAAAGTCATCTTTGTAAGAATAGCAATGAAATAATGAAGACTGATGTATGTTGGACACTTTTAATTTTCTCATTAGCCTTCTGTCTTGCTACTGAAACGTTTCAATTTATTTGTCTTTTTTAATATTGTCTACTAAAATAAGCAGTGTTGATTGCAGTGAAGATTCTTACGGTCATTTCCCGTCAAATAATTTCGTTTCTGTGAACTACTACTTTTATTTCATACCTTCAAAAATTTTTGTCGAACATTACTTGTTTATTCACTGTTTTTCTTTCGAATTACTGCTGATGTAAGGGCATTCAGTTGTTAGCCTGATACTTTGCTCATTAATGTCACAGTGAATTGACCACTTGAACACCTTATTGCTTGATAACACGCTCGTTACGATAAGACCTTCTGAGCAATTTTACCTTCTATCTAGTTTCGCCAAAGAAGATGGTAACGTTAAGTGAACTAGAATAGGTAGTATATTCATTTTTTAAAAGTGACATTTATTGACTAATTAACCTCTTAATTTGATTCAACAATTAGCCTTTCTCACAAACAAAAATTGTTTTTTTTGTTAGACGTAAAGAAAATCTAAAAAGATCCACAGAAATTTATTACTGCTTTATAATGTTTAACTGTTACGAAAAGAAAACAAAGTTGTTTTCATAGTTCGGAATTACGGTTTTTAGAAACAGAACTTGTATTCCTGTATCATATCTGCCCAGTGTCTGGATATTTTACTGGAATTTTGTAATAGCCCGTTTACTGTTACTGCAAAATTTTAGCCCAAGATAGTCTGCTGACAGGAAAAGTCAGAAATAATTGTGAAGCGTTGAAGTAACGAGTAAAACTAAGCAATAACCTAAGTACGATTCTTCTTTTCTAGTAGGATATAGGTAATATTAGGACTTCCAGTAACAAGAAAAATAATGACATGTTCAAATACAAGTCCAATTTGATTTCCTTACCTATTCTAATTTACTCAAAAAGTTCAACTCATATCCCAAATTTGACACAAAACCTTAAAAATTTGCTTTAACATTTAAAATAAATTATTACCGGTAAATGAGCAATTAGCACACTTAGAAGAAGAGACTTAGCGACAATTCGAGAATGTGTAAAAACAAATTTCAAAAAAAAAGTTTTAATCTAAAGTTTTAATCCAGAAGCAAAGAAGTATAAGGTAAAGGTGACTGTAATTATATTTACATCAAAATCGAGTATAACTGTGCAGAGAAGTGAAAAACGTTTGCAATTTAATGAGAGGCAATTTGGCAACAAGAACACTTCTCAGG